GTCTTCCTTTCCTATATATCTCATGGAAATAAATTGTATATATCTGACTTTGTAGCTTTTTCAGATGGAGATCCTTCTTGATTATGTTACACACTATTACCTGGGGTACATGGATGGCTTTTACCACTGACATTTGTGTTTACAGATTCTCACCTATTACAAGGTGCCACACTTTGCTTACCATGTTTTTAGTACAATGTGTTGTAGGTCTCTTTCTGGATGGTCCTGGTTCCTCAAGTTAATCCATATTGTTTTGCATTCCAATGCCACTAGGTGCAAGATATATCCCATCTTGAGAATTCTAAATACCTGATCTGAACACATCTTTATAGTCTGAGTGTTAGAATATCTTATTTCATTAAGAGCTGTTAAACACACTTTCCAAATGCAATCAATTTTTGGTGCCATCACACTACTTAAAATGCCACATCAGGGCTTGCACTTAACATTTTTCTTGGTAGCCAGTCGGACCACCTAGACATGTATTTTGGGTGGCCAGGCAACAGTTTAGGTGGTCAATGTATTTTTTCCATATTTCTTAATGAAGCAACCCATAAACGAATGGATCGTACTATAACCTATAGAATTTTCTTATTTGTAGTACTAACAAAGATTCATTGAGAGATAAAATATCAAAAAAGAATTTCAAAAAGAAAATAAAACCCTGCTAAAAAAAAAAGAGTGAGAAATAAATCATATGGTAAAATGGTGTTGATGTCTAGTACATTGCCTATAATGGTGTAAAATGAATTTAGTTGCTCAATTCCATCAAATAAATAGGATAAACTCATGTGATTGGTTGGTGACAACTGCAGACAAATAATCCAAGATGGTAAGTGCACACAGTTCATTTTTTCAGTCTCTACTGAAGTGTTCACTCTTTGAACTTAAAAAACTGTCCCATCTCACATCTGGTGTGTTCAGAACTTGTACTTTGTTTTGAAAAGAAAAGAAAAGGCAAAAACAAAAAATAAATCCCAAAATGCTTGCCATGTGCTTATAGTATATCAGAAGAAGCTTGGAGGTACAATCAATATAAGACAATAAAGTGTAACACTCATAGTTAGCCTAGGTCACTCAGTGCTGGATAAGGTACAAATATTGTTTTACAATAAATGAAAAACTACATAGAATAATGTATTACAAAACTGTAGTACTCTTTTAACTTGCAAACATGAAAAAGTCAACTCTATATATTCAGTGAAAACCACTTAATATAAACAAATTAAACAAATGACTCCCTGTGCTTTACTTCTAATTAGATTAATAACTTTCTTAATTACTGAGATTTGTTTATAATTACATGCACCTTTATTGTGCTTTTCTCTTTTCTATATACTTTAGATTTATTCACTATTGTTTGTAGTGTGATTGTACAACCATGATTTACCTATCGTAAAGTCTAAAAAATGTTTTAAAATATATGGCATGTCTTTTAATTAAAACTTTTACTTTTAGGATATACCAATTAATAAAAAAGCTAATATTATGGTATTTTACACACAAAAATTTATAATGTATTACCAACATACATGCCAAACTTTCTCACACAAGATCCCTGAGTAAAAGGAATTATAAAGAATAAATTCATAACAATAATTTAATAGAGTTGTTTAAACATTTGTTTAATAACAAGTAAAAGCTGGGAATGGTCTATTCTTCCATTGGGGGGGGGGGGTGTCTGTGAGCCAGACTAGTTTTGGAGAATTCCACTCCTCATCAGTGAC